ATCAGGATATCCATGAATTTTCGTATTGGATATTGAATCCGGCATTCAGGGATTTCCCAGGATCCGCCAAAGAGCCTAGTCTGGATCAGGGGCGGCGCATTACATTTCGCGTTTTCCCCGATTTTATCTTGTGCCCACGCCTGGTCGGAATCTATGAAATAGAGTTTTGCAGCTTTATAGCTATAGTATTAAAATTATTTATCAAGAATATAGGAGAATCGCTTCAACATGGTCTAGATTTATTTTTAGTATTTTTAGAGGAAATTAAGATACATACATAAATATATTTATTAAAAAACAGAAAAGATTCCTTTAATTAATCCTCAAAAATGTGTTTCTGTTGAGCAAAGAAATTAATTTATTTTAGTAAAGAACATCTTCAACTCCGACCCAATCTGTCTCTTTTAGCAACAGATGAGAGGGGCAAGGATTTATTAAAAGAAAAGTATTTGATCCTTTAATTTTCCTTGCTTTCCTTTTCTTCTCAATCACAAGCAATCGAGACAAAATTGAGATTAAAGCAAATGGAAGATGATCCAAAATGGAAACTGATGAGGGAATAAATGAAGAAAGTTTCTCAAAAACACAGATGGGGATAATAAAAAACAAAACAAAAATACACGTGCAAAACATATTAATTGGAGGAAAGTTTCCCCCAAATTTTTCCCCAACACAAAACATTCCCGGCCCCTTCCCCCTTCCACCGATATAACCTCTACTTGAGAGGATCGCGCACACAAATAAATATATTTTTTTATTTGTTTTGTATTAGCCCTATATACCTCTTGTAAGTTAAAAGCCACTAAAATGTATCTCTCTCAATATCAACAAAGACCAAACACTCCCCAAACACTCCATGCTATTCCCCCCTTTTTTTACTTTTTTTGCTTCATTTTTTACTAAATATTACTAAAATTTTCCCCTTTTAGAAGATGATCGTCTTAGGAAAAAAGTAAGTAAATGAGATGATTGCGCGCTTAAGTATTCTTTGTGGTATGTTGACAAATTGACGTTGAGAGAAGAAAAGGAGATTTAAGGATTTTAACCCTTATTTTAACCCAATATTTAATTGAAATGTACAAATTTGCTCTTTGGCCGTTAGCAAAGATTAATGCAAAAAATAAAATAAATTATTTTTAGTTTACTATACTATTTTTAGCAAAAAATGGGAGAAGAATTTCTTTAAATAGAAATCTGGATTTTCTATTAATTTAAATGCTTTTTATTTTAATTAAAAATAAATTAATACCCTGCAGATTGATCCAAGGCAGAAAATTTTCATTTTTAGTTTGGAGAAATAATTAGGTGTTTTTTAGGAAATAATGGGTTTATAAATGGAAAAATTTAGGAAATAAACCTATCTTTTTAATAATATAAATAGTCAGACTTCATTTTAAGATACCATCTTGGAGCTAAAAAATCGTAGAAGTATGTCTTAAATATAGGTATCGCTTAGGTGTGGTCAACCAAATCGGCCGTATCATAAGTAGGGGGACTTCTGGGTGTATGTATCTAAAAATGAGATCAAACTATCATTCAAGCTAATTTTGATTCAAAAATGAATTTAGGAAAAATACTTAGTATCTTTAATGAGACAATCAGACCATTATAAGATACCCTTTGGGGCTGAAAAGGTGAAGCCAACCAAATCCCAGTTGCTGTATCTTAAATATGAATATCTCTCGTGGTTGGTCAACCTAATTCCAGAGGCCGTATCTTATAGAGGAATATCTCAGGTGTGATCAACCTAATGCTAATCCTCCTAATAAAAATTTTGAATGTATCTAAAAATGAGATCAGATTATGATCAGTTATTTTGTTTTATTTTCTATTAAGAAATCAAAGGAGGAAAATAAAATTTTAAAAAACTGAAAGAAATTTAATTTTCCCCTTTAATGTTTTTAAAAAATTGTCTCATTTTTTTCTTGCTAAAAAGAGAAAGATGTTTTTAAAAAAAGCGATGAATAATCGCTGATTTGTTTACATTTTTTGATTGTTTTTGCAATTGAATATTAAAAAATATTTAAAAAAAAACTTTGCTCTATTTTAAACATTGAAAATTTGCATATTAAAAATGGCTCGCGATGGGCGCGTGAACAGTTTTACAACTTTATTGTGTAAATAAACCTTTCCTACCAACAGTAATATTTTTAAATTTTTATTGAATAATAAAATAAAAACTTGGATTATTCCTCATAAAAATATTCAAACTCCATTCAAAAATTTAGCCTTACTTTAAAATTACGTCATGAGCATAAAGATAGTGGTCCCGAGGAAGTGCAAAGATTAGTACACCTTACATATTCCAGTATGGGTGGGATATAAAAAAATAATAGGCCGGCAATCATCCAATTTGAATTCCGATTCCTGGAACCGGAACCAAAAAATGCCGAAACTCTCCGGAACCGGAACTTCCGATGAAACTCTACAATGTACTATCCAAGATACAGTGAACATAACCTCAAAATCAGTAGGGTAACAGTTCGTTTATTGAAATATCCCGATATGTCCGCATGCCAAATCTTTTTTAACTCATTAAATAGAGATTAAAGGGAGTATTTAATCAAGTAAAATTTTTTTCAAAATGAATTTTTAACTGAGAATACAGGCAATTTTCATTTCAATTAGTACCCTATGTTTTAATTACCCTATGCAAAAATATTATTATTAAGCATTTTTTAAAAATAGTGATAAGATAAAAAATAATGATAAGATAGTGAATCATAGAGATATTACCTTAGTATAAAATTATTTTTACTAATTTTATATTTAAAAATTACTCACAATGTTTTTAAAATATTATTTTGAAGAAAAAAGCTGGTTTGAATAACTGTTGCTTTTGGTCTTGTTGATTTTTAAATCAAATTATAAGTTTGTATAATTAATCAAGAAATCTTATTCAATCAAATTATTAACTATTATAATTAAATATGCCGTAAATGTACTAATAGAAGCCCATCTCAAATAAAAGCCCACATCCCACACATATAAGAATCCCTCCTAATGAGACCCATTGAAAATAAAGGTCCAGGCTTCTATTAGAAAATTTACAGTGCATAAAAGTAATTATTTTTAAAGAAAAATTTTTTATTCTAATCTTAAATAAATTCTTTTAGTTAAATTTATCAATGTTCTAAGCAGCAATGTCGATTTACACAAGGCCTTTCAATCGTCATTTAGACAAATATATAAGCATTTTAAAGTTATATATTAACTAATTAACATTTTAAAAAATATTTTTAGTCTCAAGTACCCAAAGCTTTAAATATTTAAAAAAGTAAAGGATATAATAGGTTTTAAGAAATTACTGAAAAAATTAGTTTGAGTCTAATCTCGACTTGAAGTTGAGCAAATATTGGATTGAAAAAGTAAAGAAAAATTTATGAAATCATCCCAAACCGTTCAGGTTTTTTGTAAAAATAATTAGAGCTTAATAGAATAAAGAGGTTTTATATAGCTAAATAAATGTGAGCTTGAAGGAATGATTAATGAATGAGGTGGATGATTAATAAAATGGAGGAGGATGATATTGAGGAATTTAATAAGTGATGATTAAAATTGGTGATGAAATAGACGAGGGTATAGGAAGATTTTTTGAATTTTTCTCATATTTTATATGCTCGTTTGGTTGAATTTTTTAATAAAATATTTTTGAGGTGCCATATCTTTCGATTAATTCCCTACCTTCTAATAATTCCCCATTCTCGATTAATCCCATATGCAGGGGATACGCTGGAACAATAATTCCCTCCCCTCAAATACCATTCATCACGTTCTAATCTCATCGAATAACTTCCTTTCCTTGAATATTTCTCCTCTCTTGAATAACTCCTCATTACACAGATGGCTTGAAATATTAAGTTCATGCCATATATCCCGATGATTTTGGCAGTAAATTGAAATCATTTACCGGCACACAAATTTTGTCTTTTCTTTTTTTGGCAAATTTAGCTGCAAAATTTTCTCAAAAAATACTACAAAAATAATGTTATTCCATAAGAGTAAACACGCTAATTAAGCAACAAATATTGTAGAAATTAATGAGACAATTAAAACAGATTATTAAATTTTTACAATTCTTTTTCAATTTTATTTTTAATTTCTTCAAATATAGTTTTTTATAATTAATAAAATTATTTAAATTACTATTAATTATATTATTACTATTATATTATTACTATCGATACACTATAAAAATTTGAGATACCTACATAGGTATGTATGTATCAGAGGTAAGCTTAGTTTAACTTTCGGTGTCTTTAGCCTAATTTCATGCCGTTTTGGTGGTTCGTTAACTTCCGCTTTAATTTTTCATTAACTTCCGCCTTTCGTGTTAAAGATTTAAAAAATTGTATTAAAAGAATTACTTAAAAAAGCACCTGATACTTTGGTACTAAAAAGGATAATTTTCTTTGTTAAAAAATTTTTTTTAATTTCTAGAAAAATTAGTCTAATTAATTATTCTTAATAAAAGACTTTACTATAATTTAGCCGAATGCCGGCTGTCTAAATGCAGGCTAAAGGGGGCATTCGGCTAAATGCCTAGTAATAATTCGGCATTTATTTCTAAGCATTTATGTCATTTGTTCTTTAATTTTTAATAAAATGCCGTTTGTCCTCTACTCTAATTTTTAATAAAAAGCCACTTTTAATCACGGAATGCAATTAAATTATATTTGAATACATTAAAGTTATTTCATGATGCCATTGTAGCCACTTATATGACTTTTTGTATTTTTAAAGCCTTTAATGTTCGTGAATAGAATTGGTGGTTCAGTAAAAGTTTCATTAACTAGCCCTTAACTTGCTTAACAAGTTACAGTGTCCTTTAGAAAATTTAAAAAAATTTATTAAAATTTATTAAATAAATGCAATTTTAATCACGGAATCCGTTTAAATAATTTAATATTTAAATACAAAATTTACTTTAAATTAAAGTAAATTTTCCTTTATTTTATTAACATTAAAATTTTAAATTAAAAACTAACTTAAAGACAAAAATGTCTGATGCAAGAGAATCTCCTCTAGTAAAGACAATATGGGTAATTAATACTTGTGTTGATCAAATCGGAACTGTTCTTTTTGCTCTTTTAATCATTGTTACTATTAAACAAAAGTAGGTCCAACTTCTCAAATCTCTAATTCACCCTTCTAAATTTTAAGGCGTTTGCATGGTACTTGCCATTTATTATTGGGTATTTATGCCGTTTGTTCTCTTTTATCAAAAATCCAAATATTGCTTCCATTTGCTTTAATCATGCTTCCTGGAACAGGAAAAATACCTCGCTTATATTGCGCTTTGATCCAGATATTACCTGTTGGTGGTTCGATGAATGTTTTTTCATTGATGCTTGTAATTGGTGCGGATAGAATGTTGGCTATTTTCATGCCTCTTTGGTTACTTAATTAATTAGACAGCCTTAATTTAATTTTAATTTTCAGGTATTCAACAAGAAGTGAGAAGCATTACCTAAAAATAATGTATCTTGCATCATTTTGGTTTCCTCTACTCCTTTTAGCATTTGCCATTAAAACTGTTATTCAAGACCCTTTCATGTAAGTTAATTTAGAATTGAAAATCCTTTGATTTCTTCTTGCTCACTCCCCGTTGATCACATCCAAACAACACTTGGGGAGAGGGCTTCGATACCCCTTGGGTTTTGCAATTATATTAAGCCTATTTCAGAAATGTCAAATGCTTTGCCACAGATTGGACTGCCAGTGATGATCAGAATCTTATACAATCCATAATACTCGTATTAATTTGCTTAACCTCCCTTTGTTATATTTTAATGTTTTTTAAATTATTATATGAACAATTGAAAGGGAAAGGTAATCATTTAATAAAATACAGTCGAGCCTCCCTTTATCCTAAAATTTACTTGTTTAGCTACTGCTCAAAGAAAAGCCATCTACAGAACCCTAGCTTTAATTATGGCAATCCAAATCGTTGGATATACAGTTACTTCAATTGCTTATAATATAGTAATGCGAATTTCGTCCAAGTTTAGTGCAGACGATTTACAATATATAACGTGTGCTATTAATGTTATGTCATCATTAAGTTCAAGTGCGGAAGTTCCCGTTTTGTTTGTTGTTAGGTTAGAGGATTAAAATAAATTTTTTTTTAATTTTTTGTTAAAGTACTGAACATCGCTTGGCATTTAAATCAGAATTCAGTTGGCTATTCCGCAATTCTTCCCCACCAAATACAAATAATATTCCGAATATTACAAGCCAAATTAATACAAATTTTGTTCAAAAATATCAACCTCCAAAGGTCAACACTTTAGTTCAATAAATTAATCAAATAAATTTTTTTTTATTTTTGTATATCAAAAAATATTAGTATCATCCTAATCACATATGTTTTTAAATTTTTCTTGTACTATTATTAACAATTTTAGTTGAATTTTTTTAATAAAATTATTTTCGACACTCATATTTTTATTATTGAAATAAATTAAATTAATTAATTAAAAGTGTTATACTCGGTTATCTTTTCTTGACGAATTTAGTGCCCAAAGTAGTACATAAATACGTTATAGCTGATTTCATTCACCATGCTTAACTATTAATACCTTATATGGTGGTGAATTGACTGTAAATTGAAGCCCTTTCCAACACCTCAATTTTGTGTTTTCTTTCTCTTTTCTCGGTGATTTTCTCGAATAAATACTATAAAAATAATGTCATTCCATAAATAAACACGCTAAATTTAATCTAAAATTGGTTTTGATATTTAAAACAACCAAAAACAAAGCCAAATATTGTAGAAAATAATGAGATAATTAAAACAGATTATTAGATTTAATTTTTTTTCTTCTTTCAATTTTCCTTAGCTTAGATTATATCAAACTTGTCTTGTATAAAATTTTAATCTTGCTTTAAAATCATATCCGGCAGTCCCTTGGTACATTATAAGAAGTAAATTAAGAAAATTTTCTTTGTTTAATAAAATTTTTTTAATTCTATAAAAAGTCTAACCAATTATTTTAAACAAAAGATTTTTAAAAAAATTGTAGTATAGCTCAATTAAGGCAATTCGAAACATAAGTTTGTATTTTTAATAATAAAAAAGGAAATTTTAATCACGATATTTATCTAATAATTTTATAATTAAATACAAAATTTTCTTTTAAATTAACGGAAATTTATTCATTAATTTATTTGTTATTTATAATGAGTTTCATTAAAATTTTTGTGATTTATAGAGTAGAGTTGGCTGCATATCGTGATTAGAATTCTTAGCTAATATCGAGATTTCAACATAAAATCCGTATCATGCTTTTGGAATAATTTTTGAGATACCTTGTCCTCTGAAAAAATTCTTAATTAACAAGAAATACAAGACAAAAATGTCTGATACAAGATCATCTCCTCTAGTAAGAACAACATGGATCATTAATACTGGTGTTGATCAAGTCGGAACTGTTCTTTTTGCGTTTCTAATCATTGCTACCATTAAACAAAAGTAGGTCCAACTTCTTAAATCTCTAATCCGCCTTCTTAACTTTTAAGGCGTTTGCATGGCACTTGCCATTTATTATTGGGTATTTATGCCGTTTGTTCTCTTTTATCAAAAATCCAAATATTGCTTCCATTTACTATATTCATGCTTCCTGGATCTGGAAAGATACCTCGCTTATATTGCGCTTTAATCCAGATAATACCTATTGGAGGGTGTATGAATGTTTTTTCTCTAATGCTTATAATTGGCATTGATAGAATGATGGCTATTTTCATGCCTATTTGGTTAATTAATTAGATACCTGAATTTAGCTTGTTTAATAATTTTTCAGGTATTCAACTCGAAGTGAGAAGCATTATCTTAAATTAATGTATCTTGTATCATTATCGTTTCCCCTACTCTTTGTGGCATTTGTCATTAACACTACTATACAAGACCCTTTCTTGTAGGTTAAATGGTCTTAGGTATATTAAGCCTTCTATTTTAGAAATGTCCAATGCTTTTTCGCTGATTTGGTTGGCAATGATGGTCAGAATATTTTTCAGGAAGCACAACTTGTATTAATTGGTTTAACCTTGCTTTGTTATATTTTAATGTTTTTTAAATTATTCTATGACCAGCTAAAAGGGAAAGGTATTAATTGTTTAATAATAATATACATTCGAACCTCACTATAACTCGTATAATGAGCGATATCTTAAGTATAATTGTTCTTAGCACTCCCACTCATTATTCAATCAAACCTGAAAGCTGGGCTTCTACCTGAAATCCTAAGAACAGTTTAAAAATCCGACCCGGACAACACGTACCATCCTTCTCAACCCGTACCATCCTTGTTTAATACCTATTACCTCTTTTAAACTTTACTTATTTAGCTATTGTTCAAAGAAAAGCCATCTATAAGACATTATCTTTAATTATGGGAATCCAAATTGTTGGATATGCATTTACTTCAATTGCTTATAATATAAAAATGCGGATTTCGTACCAGTTTTCTGACGAAGATTTACAATATATAACGTGTGCTATTAATTGTATATCTTCATTAAGTTCAAGTTTAGAAGTCCCAATTTTGTTTGTTGTTAGGTTAGAGGATTAAAATAAATTTTAGAGACATTTTTTGTTTAAGTACTGAACATCGCTTGGCTATTAAATCAGAATTTCGTTGGCTATTTCCCAATTCTTCTTCTCCAACAAATATAAATAAGACAAATGTTCAAAATATTTCACAACAAATTAATGCAAATTTAACTAAAAGTATTCAAACATATCAACCTCCAAAAATCAACACCTTAGTTAACTAATGATTTAAAAAAATTCTTTAATTTTTTTAAAATTTTGTGTATATAAAAAATATTAGAGCTTCTCATAAACACTATTTTTGACTGAAACCAGAGCAAATATCCGGATCCGATATCCAAACCAAAAATTTCCGAATATCCGGCCTTTTTCGGATCCGGATATCCGGATGTGTGGATCCGACAACCTTAACCGGCACACTTCCTGGTAATTATGTATATTAAACATTACTATAACATATCAATCATCATTATTAATTATTTAATTTCATAAAAATTTTTCAAGTTAATTAAATATTATTAAATAAAAGTTCATTTAAATGTCATTTTGTTTACGAAAATTTAAATAAAAAATCAGATGACAGTTGCTTTAATATATAATTAATTAAATACACCTGGCAATTCAACCCACAGACTTCCTTTTAAAAATTAAACAAGCTTTATACTTTAATAAAATGCCAGATGTAATTGACTTCATTTAAATAAATTTAAAGAAAAATTAAAAGGAAAATTTAATTTCTTAAAAATATAATGACTGACGATAGCCAAGCTACTGTAGCAAAAACAGTTTTTGCTATCAATACTGGTGTTGATCAAATCGGGACAGTTCTTTTTGGTGTTCTGATATTTCTCACTGTCAAACAAAAGTAGGAATCTCCTTCTCTTAGGCAGGAAAAACTTATTAAATTTCAAGGCGTTTGCATGGTACTTGCCATTTATTATTGGGTATTTATGCCGTTTGTTCTCTTTTATCAAAAATCCAAATATTGCTTCCTTTTACTTTATTCATGCTTCCTGGATATGGGAAAATACCTCGTTTATATTGCGCTTTAATCCAAATAATACCAGTCGGGGGCTGTATGAATACATGTTCATTAATGCTTATAATTGGGATTGATAGAATGTTGGCTATTTTCTTACCTATTTGGTTAATTAATTAATTAGGCAACCTTAATTAATTTTCTGTTTTAAGGTATTCAACTCGAAGTGAGAAGCATTACCTAAAAATAATTTATCTTGTATCATTATCGTTTCCTCTGATCTTTTTGGGATTCGTCTGCCGCTCTATTATTCAAGATCCTTTCTTGTAAATAAATCTTTAAATATATCCTTAAATATTCTGTTTAACAGGCAAATTCAATGCTTTTTTGCGGATTTGGTTGGTATTGATGGCCAGAGCTTTTTACAGACGGGACAACTTGTACTAATTTGCTTGACCTTGCTTTGCTATATTTTAATGTTTTTTAAATTGTTATATGACCAGCTGAAAGGGAAAAGTAATTAAATATTTCTTAATAATGTACAGCCGGATCTTATTATAAGAGACCCACAATATAACACACCTACTTTTAGTTAAGATATTTTTTTAATTTGATCGGCTCCATGAGCATGGAAGGCATCATAAGAGTTCTCCTTTATTTAAGATTCACTCCATGGTGAGCTACAATTCTTAGTCCTAGGTAAAGGATCTTGGGGGATCTTCGGAGTGTGTGGAGTCTTGGGAATGTATATGGGAGTCTTATGGAGTTTTGGATGATTATTACTCTTTATGGGAATTTTCTGATATCCATCAACCTTATTTCTGACTATATAATTTAATCAAAAATCTATTTTTTTCTCTATACTACAGTGTGTAATATACGCAAAGCTCTCTACAAGACACTCGCTTTAATCATGTCTATTCAAATTTTTGGATATTTTTTTGCTTTAATTGCTTATCAAGTAGTTGATGCATATTCTTCAATTTTAACATTCATGCAGAAACAATTAATTCTTTGTGTTTTGAATTGTCTTTTATCCTTAATTGCTTCTATGGAAGTTCCAGTTTTGTTTGCAGCGAGGTAAACTCACTGGTTTCTAATTTAGTATCTCACCCAGGATACAGGAGTGTCCGAAATAGATTTTGGAGACGAAAGGTGAAGTATGATTAAGTTCGGCCACACTTTAAGATACAAATTTCAGCCCCTAAGGGTTGGGTTCACCTTATAGTAAGATCCAACTTAATCTTTTATTAAGTACTGAACATCGCTTAGCATTGAAAGACGAATTCAAATGGTTATCTAAACTTTTTACTAAAAATACAACAACAACAACTGCTGTTGAATTCATAAACAAGGATAATGAACTTAATAAAAGAAATATTCAAAGAAAGAATTTAAACGAGCGAATTTAAAACAATCAAATTTGATACATTTTTTGAAAACATTTTTTAAAAAATTTTAATATCTAAGCAACATTATGAACCAAAAACTTCTTTTTCTCGTTTAAAAATACAATTTTATAAAATTTTTCTCCCTTGGACTTTTTGTACTTTTTAAAACTTAAGTTTTCAATATTAAAAAATTAAGTGGGTGTTTTATCAAGTTTAATTAATTTGTTGGGAAAATTAATTTTTGTTATTCACTTTTTTTAATAAAATTTTGAGAGAAAAAAATTTTTAATAAAAATTTTTGTAAAAATTCACATGAACCATAAAATAATAATGCATTTTATCCAAATATTTAAACAAACAATTTTTCAAAGAATTGAACCATTTACTTATTTGTTAGCCTGACAAAGAGCAGGAAAGTTCAGAGCTCCAACAGATGTAAATTCAAAAAATCCGGTCTAATATTAAATAAGGTTTATCCCTTGGTCCTATATTATTATTAGAAAATTTGTGCAAAAATTAAAGGAAGAGTGAAATACTGAGAAAAATAGGGGTATAAATTTGTAAATTTTATATAAATTTGTTATAAATTTGGAACAGAATGTAGCTCATAATTTAGCTCATAATTTAGTAGGTAATTGAAGGAGCATTTAAAATAGCTTTTGGACATTTAAGATAAATGATAATTTAAATAATTAATTTTGTATGTTTTCATATTCCTATAATTAAACTTAAATGTTTACCGCGATCAAACTTAATTGGAATATTCAAAAAATTCCTTTTTTCTTCTTTACTCTAATAATTTTTTATAAAATTGTACCCTACCTAAATATTTTGTTTTTTATAATCTTGTTAAAATGTTGAAAGGACGAAAATATAGCCAAAATTTAATTTTAATTTTTAGTAAAATAAAAAGTATGACTGAATTCAGAGAAACTAGCATAGGGAAAATTATGTTCGGGACGAATATTTTTGTTGATCAAATTGGAACTGCTTTTTACACGCTTTTAATAATTGTTACTATTAAACAAAAGTAGGTCCACCTTCTCAAATCTCTAATCCCCATTTTCTAATTTTAAGACGTTTGCATGGCACTTGCCATTTATTATTGGGTATCTATGCCGTTTGTTCTCTTCTATCAAAAATCCAAATATTGCTTCCATTTACTTTATTTATGCTTCCTGGATATGGAAAAATACCTCGTTTATATTGCGCTTTAATCCAAATAATACCAGTCGGTGGATGTTTGAATGTTTTTTCTTTAATGCTTATAATTGGCATTGATAGAATGTTGGCTATCTTCTTGCCTATTTGGTTAATTAATTAGGCAACCTTAATTTAGCTTGTTTAATAATTTTAAGGTATTATTCAAGAAATAAGAAACGTTATCTAAAAATAATGTTTATTGTATCTTTATCGTTTCCTCTACTCTTTTTGGGATTTGTTATTTACACTGCTATACAAGACCCTTTCTTGTAAGTCTTTCTTATAGTATATTTTTTCTTAAATTTTATAAATAGAAATGTTCAATGCAATTTCTCGGATTTGGTTGGTTCTGATGGGGAGGATATTTTATTGAGTATACAACTTGTACTAATTTGCTTAACCTTGACTTGTTATATTTTAATATTTTTTAAATTATTCTATGATCAATGGAAAGGAAAAAGTAATTCTTTATTAAATTAATGACCTAGTTGGGATATACTAATGATCTTGTTGGGGCTGCATATGCCCAGTTGGTGCTGAGAAGATATATCTAAGGAGTGATACATATTTGGGCTGAGGAGGTGTATCTTTTAAGTGTTATCTCTTAATTAGCTCCACATCCAAGAAGCCCATATTAAACTAATGTAAGATTAAAAGTCTTATCATAGTGATGTTCAACTGTATTCAAAAATAATTTTTTCCTTTTAATTTTTCAGTTTGTAATATACGCAAATCTCTTTACAAAACACTTGCAATTATTATGTCAATCCAAATTTTTGGATATTTCTTTAGTTTATCTGGCTATAAAATTGTAAAATTAATGTCTTTGTCTCCTATTCCAACAAATATTTTAAATATTATTGTAAATTGCACATCCTCACTAAGTTCAACTGTAGAAGTTCCAGTTTTATTTGCTGTGAGGTAGAAAAATTAAAAATTGTATAAATATTTTTTAATGTATCTAATTAAGCTCTGCACATAATTTGGCATTAAAAGATGAATTTAATTGGTTATATAATCAGTTCTTTAAAGATACAACAACTACCTCTGTTGTGTACATAAATAAAGAAGATGCGAAAGAAGCATAGATGAGCTATCAAAAATATTTTTGTTTCAGAGATGTATCCCTTTAATCCCCCGATATCCTTTTAATCTATAAATATCTCCTTAATATCCCTTTAACCATCACATTTCTTAATTCCACGATATATTTTTAATCCCCTGAGGTCCCCTTAAGTCAGTGAATCCCTCTTAATCCAACACAGCTTTTCGATTTTCTGACACCGAAGATATGAATATCTCGAAAACTTTTGATCTTAAAAATCAAGATTTTTCGAAATCTCCTCTCAGTCCGCTCTCTAATATATAATTCTAAAAATCATAATCTTGTTTTAAATGTTTTATTCAATTTAACCATTTATGTAATCAAAATTGCTTTTATATAATCAAATAAATGATAATTAATTTTTGTAAAATATTTACGTACAAAGTAAAAATTTATTAAAATAAAAATAAAACAATTTATTTATAAATTTCACTCCATTATTAATTCATTTAAACAAAGCGCATACCAAGTGGCAAATTATTGTTAATTCTATAAATTAATTAGAAGGTTTATAGGTATTTATCTATGTACTTGTATTTACAGACGAACCTCATTTTTAGATGGACCCTTGGTGCTGAAAAAATTCTCTTATAACGAGGGTTATCTTAAATAAATGGTATCACTTAGGCAGCTTCCCCACCCCCCAGCGTATCCTAAAATGATGTATCCCTAATGATGTATCCCCCTTAGGCCAACAATATTTTTAAAAATTTATTTTAATTCGAGGAGTATTGGACTAACTGAAATTGAGGTTAGCCTGTCTTAGAATAAAAAATGAAAAAAAAATTTTTTTACGTAAGCCGTGGACTATTATGATGCTGAGGGAATTCATTTCTCTTGAAAAATTAATTTTAATTTGAAACAAAATTTAAAAATTAAAATTTTACAAATTGTGGTGGTATTGGAGCATTAAAAGAATTAAATTGTTGTAAAAGCAGATTAACACCCGTTTTTTCACATTCAATAAATTGCCCGATTGTTTGGGTACTTACTAATCGGAATGTTTGTGTGTTGTAAACAAAGGCTTCAAAAAATTTTTTATTTTAAATTTAAAAAATTAAATTTTTACATAGGTTTGCAGTCAGCATATAATATAGAGAGAAATCTGGTGTTGCTGGGATACCAGATAAAAGTCCATCGGGTAAATTTGGATAAAGTTCTTCCAAATTTCCAAGCTTAAAAATAATGTTTTATTAGTGTCAGATGTTTTATTAGTGTCAGATTACAATCAAATAATTTTTTAAACTAAACTAACCATATGTGGTTCATTCTTAATAACATTATAGGTAGCATATACTTTACCATTAATTAAAATAATGCTTTCATTTAAAAGAGGAAAAGCGCCAGTCGGATAAAAAAGGATTCGATTATGTAACATTTTTGGGTAGGTTTTGGCACGGCTTTAAATTAATTTTAAATTTAGAAAAAAATTTTTTAATTACGTAAATTTGTCATGTTTTTCATCATAATTATAACCAAACAATGTATGACCTTGAATTAATATTGTTATTGTACTTGTGCTGAAACTAGCATTGATAAACTCTGGGGCATCTGGGAATCTCTTTAAAGAAAAAATTTTTCTAATTAATTTTAAAAGTTACGTCTCTTATTAAAGTTGGTCCACTCGTGATATTACCCTTCTTGATTGTCCAAGTATATTGTCCATTGAAAGCAACAACCATTCCAGGCAAAACTTAATAATATAAATACCGTCCTGACTTGTTTTTAATACCCCCTAGGGGTTGAAAAATTTGTCTCGTATAATGAAAGTATCTTAAGTAGAAGGTATCGCTTAAATTGAGGTTCATTTTGACAGGGAGTAACGCTCATAATCAGGTATCATGAATAGAGGGTCTGTATCTAGCATGAGGGTTTTAACGCTTATAACTAGGCGTATCTTAAATGGAGGGGGGTAATACTTATAATGAGGTGGTTGTTAAATAGAGGGTCTTATAATGAGTTTTTTAATGTATTTATTTTATCACCATTAGTAGCAGCAGTAATTGTGTGTGGACATACTTCTGCCATATCCTTGCCAGCAGGACGAGAGGGCAACTTTAAATAAAATTTTTGATTAATTTTTAGATTATTTAAAAAAACATTCGCGGAACAGAAGTATAAATCTATACACAAAATATTTAAAATTAAACATACGCTTCTGGGTGTTGCCATTGAATTATACTTTTGAGATGTTTTGTCCAATTCGGCAGGGAGAAAAGTTTCTAATTTTAATTTGAGTTTAATTCAAACTCTTCAAATTGTTACCATAAAGGGCCCTTAATCTAGTAACATCATCACTGGAGATAACTGGTAATTGCTCCCCTGTACTTCTTTCGAGCATTGGAAACATTACAGAATTTGGATCCCTTTAGTTATTTAAATTAAATTTTATTGGAGTAATTACCCACCCAATATGTTCAAGACCCAGAGAATGCCCAATTTCGTGTATTAAAGTCTAAAATAAAATTATAATAAATTAGGGATATTTTACTAAAAAATTTACCAGAAAAATGTCAACATTTCCCTTAAAAATAATTAATTTAGAAATTTATTTTATTACAGTCGGTCCTCGATTTTAAATACACCCAATATTAGACACCAATAATGTGCCGAAACGGATTTTAAAAAGGTGAAAGGCGAAAGGAAGAAACACCAAGAAGGCAAACTGGCACACTCCTACCACATACTTTGCAAGGTGGTCCATCACTAGATACACCCAATAATATGTAGATGCACCTCTATATTGCTATACTTTTTCAACCCCAAGTGTATTTAAAATCAAGCTCTGACTGTATCTTATTTAATAATTTGCCTCTTCTTGTGTTTGAAAAATAGACCAATTTTGGCTTTTACTTAACCAAATATTGCTTAAAGGTCCAGCTGTTCCAGTTGCTATTCCAAGCCCTTTAAATTCATTTAATAAATTATTTAAAATTTTTTAAACCAGTCTTTGATTGGTTTTCATTAGCTTCATCAAATGAAAATAAAATATTTGCGTCATTAATATTTTCAACTTCCATAAAGTCTATGGCTATAACAATTTCCCATGCACTGAATGCTTGTTTAATTAGGCCTCTATGAAATAAAAAATTTTTTTAAATAAAAAATTTCAAAATAAATCGAACCCCGCCTTATGATAGATACTTTCTTGGGGGTAATAAAAACGTATTTTATAATAGGGGTGTCTTAAACAAAGGGTATATTCATTACCTTATAATGAGGGTACCTTAAATAGAGGGTAAACTATGTACCTTATAATCAGAGTAGCTTACATAGCGGTTAACTCACACTACCCTCAGCTAAATTTAAATATTAAGAGTAGCTTTTAAGCCCAGCTGTATTTTTATTTATATGATTACCTTAATTGTTGCAATGAAATTGGGAATCCAGTGTTAGAATAATTATTAATTGCCCAATTGAGAGAAGTTTTTTCCCAAATATGAGGATCTTAAAATTCTTCTTTAATTATTTAATTTTAAATTTATATGTACCATTAATTGGTTTATCTAAATTTCCACAACGTTTCCAACTCATTCTTGCCAATGTAGGCAAATCAATTATTCCCTTGGGTGGAATATTCATAAATTCTTGAAAGTGCCTTTAATATAAAAATTTTAAAAACTCTTGTTAAGTTTAGGATTACTCTCAGGGACCGGTAAGGAGGAGAGTATCCGATAATAAAATGGTTTCGCGGTTCAGGGTCTTGGTGGTTGTAGAATTGCTTTCCAGGAGGAATCGGTTTCTAGAACAGGGAAAAGTACATAATGCTAATAAGTGCCCCCAAGGAGTGCCCTATGAGTATTCCTAAATTCTTGGTGGTTTTTTAATTGCTGTAGAGAAATTGAGAAGGAATCTGTTACTGGAACACAAGAAAAGCACTGCTTATAAAGGGTGCCCTAAGTGTGTTTCAGAATTTAGTATTTTCAAATTAAAAATATTTTTTACTTAATTCCATATTCAAGCTCCTCAGTTATATTTTCTACTTTTGCTCCCGTTTCTTTTGGCAAATGTCCAAATTCTTTTAAATAATCCTTTAAAATATTTAATTGAATTTCCCCAATTTTAATACAATTTTTTAAATTTCTTACCAAAACAAAGTCTTTATCAACCTCAAAACTTTGATCAACTTTTTCTGTAGGAATGACCTTGAATTTTAAATTAAAAGAATTTAAATTTACTAAGAAAAAGGGGAGAAAATTATTAATTAATTTCTGTTCCGCGAATACTTTATTAAATTTATTTTACACCCAAAATTACCTCATTCTCACTTTTATCATTTAATTTATTCTGATTTGTGGTTGCTTTGATTGTTGTTCTTATTGGGGGTGTTGGTTTTTCTGCAAGCTTCTCAGTTTCTGGGTTGCCCTTAGCAGGATTTCCGGAAGAAAAACAGGCAGATATTAGTGAAGGAGTTGTTAAAAAGAATAAAAATAATAAAATAAATATTTTCATTTTACTTAAAATTAAAAAAAAATTTTTTAACAAAATTAGTGTTTTTATTACAGTCATACGCTTTTTAAAATTTGGTTTGCCCACAGATGCAAAGTAGTGGGAAGTAGTGATCGGGTCGAGACGATCTCTCGGTCCAAGATCTCGGTTATGATTCTCAGTCTTGATTCTCGTAGACCAACCAGTTCTATCTCTAGTTGAAGTTACCTAAACAATGGCCTCTAGGACAATACAAGGTTACCCATTTTTAGCTCCAAGGAGTTATTTTATAATAAAGTCTGGCTTTAATAGATTGATCAAAATATATAAAACATTAAAATAATATTTTAATAAATTTAACTAAATTAAAAAAAAGACTCGTAGTAATTTTTGTTTATTCAAGACAAACTTTATTTGAACGCATAATGCGCGCGTAACGACGGCGCCCCGTAGGGAAAAACAAGTCCAAACTCAACAAAACAAAATCAATCAAAAAATTGCCTCTTCTCTCTTTTATTCTTTTAATTTCAATTTTTATATCCTTTTCACCTTTTACTTTTTAAATTTTAAATTGAAATTTTATGAAAAAAAATATTTTCATTTGGAATAGGGAAGGTTCTCAAACGTAGAAAAAACAACTTAATTTTGGTGTGAATAATATAAAATTGTATAAAACAAAGACTTCCAAAACACAGTCTTACCAAAACACCGACCAGACAAATAATTAATTCTAAATTTTAAAAAAATTCTGATTTTTAAAATTCTGATTCTTAAAGATTCTGATTTTTAAAAATTCTGATTCTTAAAAATTCTGATTTTTAAAAATTCTGATTATTAAGTGTTCGGTCGCTCTGTGTTTTCATAAAACCGTGCTTAGTTACTTCCTTGTTCTTCCCCTCACCCAGAAATAATGAAATAAAGTTTAGTTTTAATTAATCTTTTTAAAGTTCAAAATGCATCAGAAAAATAATAAAAATAGGAAAAAATTTCTTTAAAAATAATTTTGTTAATGTCTCAGTTTGTTGCGCATTTAATTTTTCTTTGAAAATATTCGATTAGAAATTGATAAATATTAAATAATAAATATTTTTAAAAAAAAAAAATATTTAAATAATAAATATTTTTTAAATATGAAAAGAAAAATTTATTTAAAGAAATAGAAATTTAATTTTAAATTTTCTAAAATAATTTTTTGAATTAAAAATGACTAAAATTAAATTATAGTGAACATAAATAATTTACATATTCCCCCATATTTTTAACAGACTAAAAACAAATTTTGCATAATTTTTGTAAATAAATTTTTATAAATGCGATCAAAAATAGTAATTTTTTGTAAAAAATAGTAATATTTGTTAACAACTTTAAAAGAGAAAAAAATGAATTTAAAATTAGCCCACACCGTTTTTCTTCTTAAAATCGTCGGTACTACCAGCCGGTTAATTAAAAAAGCATTAATGAGCAAATAAACTATTTACTAGAGATCGGTAGGGGATTTAAGGGATTTACAGGATTCAAAAGATCCTTCCAAAAAACCTCCAGGATTTTACAGGATCCCGTCCCGGGGGATTATCGGGACGGGATCACCCCGGATTTACAGGATTTATGGGATTCAGTATTAATCCGGTGGGATCCTTCCTCTCCCTCCCTTCGAACTTTCGAAACTCAATCCTGTTACGGGATCACGAAAATGCTATTTTTCCGATATCTAATATTTATACTAATTTTTAAACAATTTAAATTCTCAATTTTTGACTTGAAAGTTTCAATATTTTAACTTCAAAATATCAAAACAACATTTTAGTATGCGCAACTATTTTTTGGACTTAAATAATTTTGTGTTTAGATAATTGTTTTGTTTATTTAAGAGGATTAAAAATAAAATTTTCTTAAACTTGGAAAATAAATAAAAATAAAAAAGAAAATTAGAAAATTAGAAAAGTAATTTATATTTATTTTTTTATTTAGTTGATTGCAACCAACCTCGTAAAAATAAAAAAAAATAAAATAAATGTTCTTTTTTTGCTGATTGAAAAATTAATTGAAGTTTGTGTATAAAGGGCAAAGAAGTATTTACTAATAGAGATTAAGTAGGCGAAGAAAAATGGGAAAATGGAGAGGGATTGATGATGATTATTTTTTGAAGGAAAAAAATTTTTAAGAGGTTTCAAGTTTTAAAAAAGGGCAAAAAGTATGAAATAGTAGAGAAATAAATTAAAATGGTATGAAATATTTTTTTAGTTAATTTTAATACAAAATTTCCTTTGGGATAAAATTATCCGTTGAAATAATCCCCCTTATCCTTTGGCATAAAATTATTTTTTATCACGAAATATTAAATAGAGGATATCGCTTAGAGGATATCAGCCTATAGAGGATGTTATCCTAAATCGAGATATGTATTTGTAAGTACTAGAGCCCGGACATAGAGGTTGTAAGATCGAAATCGATATCTCGCTCGATCTTGATAACCGAGATTTCTGAGCAGGCTCTTTTTGAGCAAGATCTATCTTTTTTGGCTATTAAAATTCTTGTGAATTCTTAGTATATTAAAGAAAATTTAAGTTGAATTGAAGATTTTAATTCCAAAATTATTAAAATTATTTTATTCTAAAATTAATAAATTTCATAATTTTGAAGGCCTAATATCTAATAGAATTTATTAAAAATATAAAGAAATAAAATTTAAAAATATTAAATAAATGTTGGTATAATGAATATGATTAAACAGCGATATTTTATTTTTTCTTTATAACCAATTTCTTTAAAATATTTTAAATGTCACAAAGTATTTCATTCAAAAAATATATTAATCATTTTAAAATTTAATAAAATTATTTTTTGTAAAAAGTCAAACATTTATTGTTTTAAATAATAATGAAATGATTAATAATTTTTAATATTTTGTTAGTAATTTTGATTTAAAATTTAAAGTTTTGAAGTATTTAATGAATAAGGAAGTCCAAAGCATACAAATGCCTTGAAGTGAACTACTAAAGATGATGATGCAATTTCTGCGGATTTTTCTGCTGACTTTTTTTCCTTTACATGTTTTTTTAAATGTTTAATTGTTTTGCTTGTAGCAAATAACTGTCGAAGGATTATTTTTTATGCAAATTTGAAAATTTTTTTATGCCATTTTGATAAAAAAGAAAAGAATAATGATGGAAGAGGAAAAAAGGGCGTGGCTAAAAAAGAGTACCCAAACCATATAAGTTCCTTTTTTTTGAATTTTGGATCACATTTAGCAATTTTATAAATTAATTAATTTTCTTTTTTTTCAACCTTAAACCCCAAATTTAAAATTTTTCTATAAATAAAATTATTTTTTAAAAATAAAAATGAAACATTTACGTAGTAAACTTTGCGTGTCAATACAGAATTTGTTGATTATTTATTTTTAAGATAATTTTATTTTTGATTATTTATTATTTTTCCTCTTTAATTTATTCTAATTATAAATTAAATATTTAGATTTATTTTTTTGTAATTTTTGTTTAGTTATTTTTTGGTTTCGTAAATTAATTTATACCTATTTATCTTCTTGGAGTCCTCCTTTACCTTTTTTTCTGCGAAATTAAAAATCTCTATCTAAACAAAACCTATCTCTCTTTAATTTTCCACAAAAATATTTCATAGGGTTAACTTGCTTTCCTAAAAATTTTAGAATTTCTGGTTTCCTATTTCAAAAGTTGTGCCCGAAACCCCAACCAAAAAGCTTCATTTTACCGAAATATTCTGATTTTTTGATCATAACTTCTGAAATAATATACCAAAAATTCTGAAATTTTTAGAGAAGTTAGTTAACAGCATTGAGGGTGTCCATATAAAATTTCTTGAATTTTGCATCACATTTAGCAATTTTATAGGCCTTGGCGTAACCCCCTTCCTCCTCTTCTTCGTATCCCTCTATTAATTTAAAAGCTTTTCTTATTTAAATTAATTAATTTAATTTTTTCAATTTTTTAGTGTCTCTTGGTCTTGAGTCTTGACTCAAGACTTTTCTTGGGTTTTTTTCGGTCTTGGTTTTGGGGTGAAGTCTTGGTCTCGACTTTTTTGAGATTTTAAAATATACACCCCTAAAGATCGGTGAAATAATAGAGAAAAGTAAAAGATTGTAGGAGTAAGGGCAAAAGTAAAAGATTGAGACGGAATGAAAAAAGTGAGTAATTCAATAAAATAAGAAATTAGCATTTATTCAAAGTACATACCGTATTTATTCTAATTGAATGGCACCTCCATTTGAATGGCACCTCCAATAGAATGACACATTTTTGAATGAATGAAAAATAGAATGGCAGCCTCTATTTGAATGGCACCTCTAATAGAATGACACTTTCTAACTATTAACTACCTAACTCTTATTTCTTTATTCCCTTAATTAACTAGTTTAATATTCCTTTTTAGTATGATAGTTCCGATATTTTTGAGCATGTCTAGGGCAAAAAAGTGGTGTTTGATAGCGATATCAAGGGATTTGAGAAAATAATGATGGATAAAAACATTTGACGAAGATATCTGGGATTAAAATAAAATAATTATGGTGTGATATTTAGTAGAGATGTCCGAGACCGAAAATTTTTCAACCCCAAAGACTTGATCCCAAGACCCGAGACCAAGACTTGACTCTGAGTCTCAAGACTAGTAATTAACAATTCTCAAGACAATTTTTCGTTCATAGACAAATTTTTGGTGATGCGTATGATCAGCGTATGATCAAGATTGATTAGAAAAGATTGAGGGAGATGTGAATGATTTTGGATGGATTATTTCCTTAATTATGTATTTAGATTAATATTCCTTTTAGTATGGCCATGACTGCTATTTTGAAGTAGAAGTCAATTTAAATGCTTGAAAGTAATCCCCCTCAAATCCCTCAAAGCTAAGAAATCTAGATCCATATATCCCGCCAAATCACCCAACATCCTCCTCAAACTCTCGATAACCCTCCAAAACCCAATATCCCTCCAAATGTTACTTGATCCCACTATATTTCACCAAAATTCCACGATTTGATAAGCAATCAGGACCCAACAGTGCAGGA